AGATAAACATGATAACCAGCAATCACACAGCTGTTCAAACTGCTTATTCTTGTTAACATTGTGAGTTATCCTTTCACAGCTGGTTTTACATGGCGAACAGAATGAGGAATGCAACCATCAGACAGAAGAGACCCATAGCTTCAGACAGAGCGAAGCCCAGGATGGCGTAAGAAAACAGCTGCTGCTTCAGAGAGGGGTTCCTGTGAAGACAGAGGGGCCAGTGAGATCAAGTAGTGCTGATGCCTAAGAAGTACAGCTAATGAGGCATGTTTAGACCAAAGTTTTCCATGATTGACTTGGCTTAAAGCACAATCAATAATTAGTCAGTGCTAAATAAGTCTTTAATATCTTATTTTCACGAACAAACATTATTCCTCTAACTTCACTTTCCCAGTGATTTTAAGTGATGCCATTTAGAATGAAGTATGCCAAGTATCTTTTGGTTTTATAATTAATCGCCAAATGGCAGAAATCTACTCAGGTCTCCTCTTTCTTTTGTCATTACCTGTTCACTAGGTCACATTATTTTGAGAACTTGGGTATTAAGTAAACAAGACTAAAACGTTCTCTTCTCGACAGTAAAAAAATAAAATAAATGGCCTCATTACTACTACAGGGGACTTGTTAAATTTACCTGGCATATCCAATGATAAGGCTGCCAAACACTGTCCCAATTCCGGCTCCAGATCCAGCGACTCCCACAGTGGCAGCTCCTGCTCCAATGAACTTGGCAGCAGTGTCGATGTCACGGCTCACGGCGCTGGTTTGGAATCCCCGCAATGCCACTTGCTGCTGGGAGACACCGCCGCTCAGTGGTGCCAGAAGCGAAGCAGTCTGAAAAACAACCACCAAAGTATCAAACACAATAATTCCCACACGGTAAAGTTTACTTCTAATGCAAGCATTACTTCTGCTAAAAATTTAGACCCATCAAATAAGACCTCTCTAAAGAAAACTTATTTTAAGATGTACTACATCTAGCTTCTAATCGTACCTCATCACATTATGGCCCATTTTTGTGGGAACATGAAGATTTACCGTTATAAAATTTAGTTACTAGTTATTGAGATTCTCATTTAACTTTAATAACCCCCACATGGAGTTTTCCCCATTTGAAGATTATTATAGTTGTATATTTATAACAGAAATACACAGATGCACAGTGTGTAGGGTTGCAAAAACAAAATGGAAGACGTTTCATACACTCTCGTTCTGTTTGTTCTTTCATAACAATGAATTAGTCATTTTTGCTTTGGCTCTGACCACAGACAGCATGTTAAATCTACCCGATTACGATATGTGGCCATAATTCCACAGTTAACAATTCAATATACAGTTCAGCCTGCAGAAATGTTTCTTTGGGATAATGTGAGCAGGGTGGCACTATTTGTTGGTAATAAAAACAATCAATGTGCTTCTTTGTTAGAAGATCTCAAATATATACAACTACTGCTACTACTACCATTTAACTTAAAATAAAACAAATCCGTATTTTACCTTTTCTATTTTTTGCACAGTGTTAATATAGAAAATGACAAATGTCACTTGATGAATGGTGTGCTCTGCGGGCAACTCACCTCTGCTCTCCTGCCGTCTGACACTACTGCTGCTGAGAGCGGTCTGTACAGCGCCCTGGATCCAGCACGGACCTGTGTTAGAGGGGGGAAATTGTTTTGACATGATTCGCCATAATTTATGCTAGAACAGCATTAGAAAGACCTACATCAGCTGCAGTGACAAAGCTTTTACATATATATAACACTACAAGTCAATAACAGAGACCCATTAAAATGTTTCTCTTGATTCTCTTTTCAAGCCTTACATGGAATACGTTATATCCTTTAGATTAAGTTTGTGGACTTGGAGGAAATGATGGAAAACCAAAACAGTGAGCTTCCTCCTGATTAGAAGCTAGGACGTCCTTGTAGGTATGAGCATTAGCTAACTTTAGCAGAGGGTCAAAGACTGCTTCGCAGCCAGTGTTAGCAGCCTACTTTATCATAATTTAGAATGACGGAAGTGCAGCTAACAATACTCAATCAGTAAACAGGCGCAGTTTAGCAATTATCAGTTTTCATTCATTCAATCAAACTGACCAGAGAGGGCGTGGAGACGAACTTAGAGCAGGCATACATTACGATGGGACGTTCTGGTCAGGTCACCCACAGCAGCTGGAGTTTATCCGAAGTCTACAGATAAAAACACATGAAACACAAAAAACCAAAGCGTTAGCTATTTGACACTGCGCCTTTTGCTAAACAACCAAGTACAAAGTCTGCAAAAATCAGGTAGACACGCAATTAAGGTCAAGAGGAGAAAAAAACCGCACAATACCGCTAAAGGCAAGTTAGCTGAAAATCAGACGAGCTACACGACGCTGTGAATAATAGACTACAAAAATACGGAGCAACAAAGAACACTTAAGAGCATATATTTAATTCAAACCCAGTTTCTGACAGAGGAGGCTAGCACTCACCGGTTTGCAGTAGAGGTCGAACGCACGAGAGGCTTGCGCATGTGCAGTGTCACATTTATTGGTTGGTTTCCGGTGTCATGGGAAAAAAGTGATTTCCGGTATCTGCCAAATTGATCACCGGCATTAAAACTTTTGTAAATGACTTGTTGGCGTATAATCTGTCAAATATGTCTCAAATATATCTCTCATGATTTATATCAATGCATTTTCGTCCAGAAGAAAATTCTTGTTACATGGTAGAAACTGCAATTACTTTTTGGCAAAGTGACTTTATGTACTGACCTGAATAAATGTCACTCACATAAAAAAAAGCAAAAAAAATTTTTTTCAAGAGAGATCAGGCTGAGAAATATGATCCGGCTGCAGAAATTGCACCAAACGTAAGATAAGAGTTCTATAAATATATTTTAAGTCGCCAAAAGTACTTGGTTGATGCTAATGTAGATTAAAAAAAAACGCAGAGTCATTAAGATAACAAAACTGGTCATTCATGTATCTTATAACTCTTTCGTAAATCGTGGTGGATACAGTATACTTACCAATATAAGCAACTGACAGACAATTGACATGAAAAACACAGGAATATCAGAAATCACCTCAGAAGGAAGCATTATAAAAACTTTCTGTCAAATCCAAAGTTCTGTACTGTTTTTACTGAAATTTATTTATTTATTTATTTATTTTACTAATGTTTATTCAGTTACTAAATCTATGCATCTTATATGGCTTTATTTTTTATACAAATTCGTTGTATTTGTGTTATGGCCAATAGATGGCGACATGATGTCTCATCTGAGAAAGGCATGTGTGCCATTTGCTGTCCATGTTATTTACACATTTTGGGTTGCTGATTTAAAAAATAATGTCAGTTTTTCTTTCTCATTTTGTTGTTTCACAAGTGGCAATTAGAAACACGATCCAGATATTTTTATTATTATATTTTTCTATATCTTTGAATGTTTCACTACATCCAGTGATGGAGGCTGTTCCTTGTCTGTACAAATGCCAGTCTAAAAGGTGTCCTACTTAAAAGCGGCAATTACTCTGCATCCGTGGGAACTGTTCATTTTGTCCAGTTAACAGAAATACATGAGAATATGGAAATTGTGTTGGAGAAGCTGAAATATGATGAGAACAAGCTGGACTTAATTTTTAAAAACTAAGTATTTGTGACTAACTGTATGTGATTTTTTTCCATTTGTGTTTTAAACATCATTCAGTTACATAATATCAGCTATTTTCTGGAAAAGAGTATAAATCCAGGGTGGTGTAGTGATGGTTTGTTTTTTCAGGGTGGTGTGAACTAAACTATACTTGATTATGTAATGTTGAAAGATTTAGTTTCTTTAATAGTGAAACAGTGGAAAAATGCAAACATCAGCAGAAGTAATACTTAAGTAATACTTAAGTCACACTCATTGTGCAGTATTATAATATTAAACACCTGGCACACTATAGTCGAGTTCAAAAGGTTCAACTGTAATGCCTGCACGTAACCACAAGAGGGCAGAAACACACCATTCAGAGTTTACAATATCCACTTGAACGTGACACTTAACAATATCACTACCAGCCGTGCCGTCATGCTGTTGGCCTGATATTCAGCCAAATAATTATGCAGAATATGCTGGATCCATATTTAGCATATCAATACATCCAGACGTGAAATATAGAAAACTAAGGCTTTCTGTGTTTCTCCTTTAGCACTAGAAATAGTCTCCACACACACCATTTAAAGCCTTTTGCACAGTCAAACAGTATAACCAGAATAACGGATAAAGATTAGACCTGGCTGCTTAAGAGGAGGCGTCTACAAATTCAAGGACGGTTTTGATGATTGCATCATTTATTTCATCGTGGAAAGACCAAGGTGGTGGGATATATGGAGTATAATCCACCACCTACAGTGTATTAAAATTTTATGCATTTATAGCACCGTTTAAAAATGCTCCGAAAATTTAATTTAAATGTGGTTGTATGAAGCCCTTGTCTAATTACAAATATTTAGCTTTTTATAGAAAGTATGTATTTTATTATATTATATTATATTATATTATATTATATTATATTATATTATATTATATTATAACAACATATCATTCTCATGATATTACATACATGTAGCATTGACCACCGCGCTGTGGCCACTGCTCATAGATCAGATCAGTTGGATCCAGACAACACATTTCGTTAAGATAATTTAGTGTGTGAACCTGAACACACTTGCATCGTGACGATGTGAGGCTATAACATCCCACCTAGAACCATCTCCTAGATATATATCAAATATTTATACTCCAGCTTTAAGTGGGTTTCCCCTCTTCAAAGTCTCGAGACTTCTCTGGCCGCCCCCTCAGAAGTAAGCTCCATTTGAGGATGCGGAAGGGAGATTCCTCAGCTCTTCCAATCATACACCCCCTCCGCAGCATGATGTTACCGTTACGCACCACTACAATAAACGGAGACGCGAGTCTCCGGGGCGAATCCCTACTACGTCACTCTACTCCTGTATAAATAACCCGAGCAGCGACTCTGATCAGACTCGAGCAAAAACCGCTTTTCGGCTACAGCAACTTTTTATACCAAGGATTACTGGATTGCCTTCGTTGGATTTAATTTTCAGCACCGAGTAAGTGTTTTTAAGGGGCCGCTGGGGAGAGATTTCAAGCTTTGGTTAGATTTTGACCTTTTTTTGTGAATAAACATGTGGGCAGGTCAGGTCGACCATTTTTATATATATTTACTTTAAATGTGGGATAACAGCTTTTATTTTACAATATGACTTACAATGGTAAACATATTTGTAAAATGATCTCCCACTGTATTTCTGTGCAGATCTTGATAGCGCTTCTTTCTTTAAATGTGGCTGAAATGATCGCAAATTTACGCATGGCACATCTATCCACAGATCCTCGATAGAAGCACAATGACTTTGAACAAGGGTGACAAATTGAGGAACATGGACAAGAGGAGAGGAAGCGTGCCCTTCCCAATGAATTTACCCAATCTACACAGGAGAAGCATGCCCGTGGACGACCGCGACCTGCGCGCCACGACGCCACAGACGGGACAGACCGACGAGCTGTCCAATTTACTGCGGTGCACGTCCTACTCCCCAAGCGAGCAGCACCGTGGCAGCTACGCCTCAGACTCCTCCGACTCGGTGATCTCCACCAGCAGCGAAGCGGACTCCCAGGTGTACAAAGTGGTTCTCCTCGGGGAGCACGGTGTCGGCAAGTCCAGCCTGGCGCGCGTCTTTGGAGGAGTTGAGGATGCTAGTCACGACTGCGATGAAGCAGGTAAATGGTGATGCTGGGGATGAGTCATCAACCATAGCAACCCACACTCTCAGACACACACAATGAAGATGTTTCATTGTCTGTGAAGATATGTAATAAATGGGCATGCCAACGGCTGCTTTATTTAATTTTATACAATACTGAACAAACACTAAAATATATAGAAGGACGGTTATAACATATTTTAAAGTAATATTACTTTTTAAGTGCACTATTACAATTTACATCACCACACTTATTTCCAGTAGATTTAAAACAAATGCTGCAGTTTTTTAAATTACAGAAAGGCTGCACTAAAGCTGTACAATTCAGTATTATATGAGGACTGTGCATGCATTGATTATTGCTATTTCCACATACAGTGCGGCACCAGCTGTCAGAAGCACACCCAATAGCACTATGTGAAGGGAACCTACAAAAGGCCAGTGATGGCGTGATCACAAACTGTGATCTGGTTTAATGAGTAGACTCAGAAAGAAAAAAAAGTGCCAAAAATCAGAGTGGAAAAAAAAATAGCAGCAACACACTTTGACAGCAAACACGATTGCTCAGATAAAAGACACTTTGCTCTCCCTGCCAGTGTGTAACACAATATTTATTTTTCCTCCCTTAGGAAACACTTATGATAGATCTATGTTGGTGGATGAAGAAGAGGCATCCATCGTGTTGTATGACATCTGGGAACAGGTGAGACTTATATATTATTAATGAAGTGTTTGTCCATTTGCATTGATTCAGGGATTTTGAAATTGTAAAAGGTGCATTCAGCCATGTATGATGTTAAATTTAGTCTCTGTTTCTTTCCTGAAGGATAACAGCCAGTGGTTGAAGGACCAGTGCATGAGAATGGGAGACGCCTACATCATTGTGTATTCAGTGACAGACAAATCAAGCTTTGAGAAGGCATCGGAGCTCCGCATTCAGCTGCGCCGTGCCAGACAGTCAGAGAACATTCCCATAATCCTTGTGGGCAACAAGAGTGACCTGGTGCGGTCCAGAGAGGTGTCCGTAGATGGTAAGTGAGATTAATAAACTCGATCTTAAAATGTGCAGTCAGGGGAGATAGATTTGAATCCACTTGACTAAAGCCTTGCTTGAGGCATTTCAAGACAGAATCTGACAGATGGTTGAGCTTCACTGATTTTGCTAGGGTCAATCCACTTTTCACAGCTGACTGCTCAGGTTGATTCAGGTTCCTCTGCAGCTCAAGCAATCTGCCAGAGATTTTTCATGACTTAGGGCTAATTCGTCATCTCTAAGCTTACAGTTTTCCATTTCAGTGTGAACTTTCTCAGGGTTTTAATCTTCTTTCCTGTGTTCTGCATTACAGAAGGAAGTGCCTGTGCAGTGGTATTCGACTGCAAGTTTATCGAGACGTCTGCATCACTTCACCACAATGTGCAGGACCTGTTTGAGGGCATCGTCAGACAGATCCGTTTGAGAAAAGACAGCAAGGAGGAGAACGCCCGGCGCATGGCCAACTGCAGACGCAGAGAGAGCATCGGCAAGAAGGCTAAAAGGTTTTTGGGTCGCATGGTCGCACGCAAGAACAAGAAAATGGCTTTCAGGCAGAAGTCAAAGTCCTGCCATGACCTAACAGTTCTCTGAGTGACAGATGGGACAGAAGGACAATTTTTTCCCCCTTGGCCTCTGAAGACCAGATGCTGTGTGTTTTAACACTAACCCAAAAGGACTAACAGAACTGTACTGAAATATATTTTTGTTTTCTAGACATCAACCAAAAGCAAAAAGAAGCTATTGTTAATGAAATGACTGATGTTGTTTGAGTTATATCATGGTGATAACCTGCATTTATTTTATTGTCTGCCTTAAACACATTGTCATCAGTATGTATGAAAAAAAAAATCCACAAAGGCTTGTTATTTCTATGTGCTGCGAAATTGCCTTGCGGTTAGGTTAATGTTGTGCCCTTTAACTAAATGGGTAGGGGGTGGGGGGTGATGTATATACTAATATTTGAGTCACGCTGAAGGCAACATACATCTCATTGTATTGTAAGACAAGGCAAAGGATAATGATGATAGGTATTCTGGAGTCATATTTTACTTGAAGTGTGGTACGCAGGTTCGTGCCTCGGCAGAGTTACTGAGGACTATTCAAAACATCTGTTATTCTATGTTTTTTTTCCCATAACGCTGAATTCAGGTTGTGAATGTCTGAGTAAAGCAATAAGTTATACTAGTCTTGTGAATTTTGACATGATTTGAAAATTCTTTTTACGTTGAGTTCCTTTTTCAATAAAATATAAAAAACAATCCATAAACTGCCTTCTGTCTTTAATCCCAAGGCACCGAGGCATTCAGCGTAACGCAGCAGAAATTGAGTAAATGTGGACGTACATCCTCATCAATATTCATTTGATCTTATCGGTGCAATGGAACCTCACTGGTCACTGGTTTTGCAGGAAGGAAAACAGGCAGTTAAGCATGTTCCTCGCAAAGTGTTAACCATTAATCCACCAAAAGGAGTACAAGTGCTCAGTTTTTCCACCCAATTTAAACTCCTCTCACACCTCTCAGAGGGAGCACACGCATCATTTGGAGAAGGTAAGATGAAACATTTTTGTTTAGAGAATAGAGTTTGTTTATTAATTTTCTTTATTAATTGCATGTTCCTATCGTAATTACTGTCGAGCTACAGTATACCCACAGCTTATCTTTTGTACTTTGGAGGCTTTAATTGCAGCTAGAGGAGTTTGTAAGTGATTACCATGACCATAATTCAGAGTGATTGGGTACTGCTACACAGCTACAAGATATTTGTCAGGCATTAATGATGAAATACGCTTTGTTTTTAGATTAACCTAAAAAGAAATTTACTTTTGCTTTCCAATCAAAAGTGTCTTTCTTGTTGTCCACTGTGTGGGCTCAAATGTGGCATTTAGTGGTTTCATAGGTGGTTGTGCATTTGAGTGCACGCTGTTGCTCATTTAAAAACTGCGAAATCCTCTCGTAAGTGGTGCCTCTTTAACAAAGTGTTTGTCGTGCTAAGACCAGTTGGTCTGAAATGCTATGATTATACATTTATCCCGTTTGCAAGGGGGAACATGGCCGAGAGAGGAGCTACACCAATGCTCTTCACAGCTCTCATAGTAAGCAGATTTTTTTGTATTACATTAACCTTTCATACTAAGATAACATTATTGCATGAACCTTTAGCTGCTACCAAGACAATATTTTGTTTCACAGTGGGCAGTACTTTATACATCTGCACCATGTGCTGGGACGAATGTTAAAATTGGTGTCCCTGAAAACTACGATGGTATTTTCCCATGGTATCTAACCAAGGTAAGGCACTTAAAACTTCTTGTACTTCTTGTGCTCATTTTCCAAGAAAGCAGATGTGTTTCTCTAAACGTAACCTTTTTAATCATGGCGATTAGGTAATTATATATCTAAGCAGAAATACAAGCTGATTTGATTTCAAATGCACTTTAGTAAGAATTCTGTGTTGTAAGCGTGACCTTTCACTATTTAAAAGTCAGAAATGCAAAATTTAATCAAGATTTAACATTTAAAATCATCATTCGGTAATCAGTAACATGTTGAAAAATAAACTGATAGAAAAGGAAATTATGCTGCAAACCAAAGCTGGATCTGTGTGTTTTCCTGCACTCAGACCTGAAAGTGTATAAACCTGGTAATTGGCATGTTCACAATGCTTGTCAGGTGTCAGCCTCAGTCTCTGCATATAGTCCATTTGGGTGGCAGACAGGATGTTTAATTCATACTTGTCAGTCAGACCTCCTCTGGGTTATGCAACAGCATGAATGTTGGCATTTTATTGGGCTGGACTGTGGTGTCGTCACGTCTTGTATGAAACATAGGAATATATTTAGGCTTTGATGTCAGTCTGGGTGTCATTTTGACTCACACACAAATAGCCTGTTAATGGCCACAATGGAGGATAATAACCCCACTTTGTGTTATAAATGGAATAGACATAATAATTGCTTCACATTCGTTTAAGGCAAAAACCTTTTCATGAAGTTGCGTTCGTCAGAGAGGGCTAAACTCGCAGATTACTGTAAATACGCAGTTTCAGCGTCTGCTCTAAAGTAGATTTTTCAGACGCTGCTATATTTTTTCTTCAAAGCATCCATGAGCGTCCTCTCATTAAGCACTGCAACATTGTATGGATTTTTTGTAATCAAGTAATTTCGTCATTGGGGAAGTTGAATGGCAGGAGGCTGGTAAATAGAAATTCTGAAGCATATTTTACTGTCAATAAAACACTTATAAAAGCTCAAACAAATCAGCCTGTTGGTCCATTCCTGCTTTGGTAATGCCCTTTCATCCACCCAGAAGACCTCAAAATAAATCATAAATGCAGTGAAGGATGATGTGAGAGCTGGGACGGGGTGAGATGGAGGCAGATGATCTGTTGTGGTGGCCCCTGAAGGGAGGTGTCTAAAGAAGGCGAAGAAGAAGTAAAGATGTCCTACTCAGTCTAACTCAAACTCTATCTTATTCAAACATAAGTACACTTTGTGGCTCTTTTGGGGCTATTTTAAGCAGATTAGCACACTTTTAACTAACAAAGTGAATAAAGAGAGACAAACGCGTAGCCTCCAGATGAAGACATCGGATTTAGATTCAACTTTGAGAATTTCCTTTATCTTTTATTCAAGTATTTGAATGTTATTTTTTTCACAAGAAGCCCAAAGGAATGTTGCTGCTTGTTGGCAAACCACAGCTCTGCTTTCTCATAAGGCACATGGAACAAATGGTGGTCAGCTATTGTGGGAGCTCAATTATTGTCTCTTAGTGAACACGGCAGAAAGTAAAAAAAGCTCAATTTTAACAAACTTACCAGAAAAGGATAAAACGTGAAGAGCAGATTATCGCTTGCACTTTAATCATGCTGCATTTGTTGCAATGTCATCTAGTTTAAATGCAGGTGCATCTGTGTAGTTGCTTGTAGTGCATGTTTTTTCATTAACCATTAACCAGGATGACAAACTGATTGTTTTCATGCATACTTTTTGTCTTCATCCCCACAGCTTCAAAGCCTGCCATCTAATTATAGTGACCTGGTGGTAACAGGAGATGATGAGGGCATATTTGGAGTCGATGCTCAGTTTCTGTACGCCCTAAAACCACTGGACAGGGAAAAGCAGCCATCTTACTCTCTGCAGGTATAAAAACATTTCTTTTCTGATCATAGTGCACCGAAAGCAATTTTCAGTCATGTTTCGGCTAATGAATGACTTTCTCCAATGTGCCATACAGATAGTTCACATAGAAAATACATTTTTATACTCTTGTTCATCATCTTGTTCATAATGATCACGTGCTGTTGTTCAAAGCAGTTTGGGGCTGCTAAACGATTCGCATGAACAGGGTGGACGCGGGCTCCAGCGTGTGTTTCTTACAGAACATGTTTGTGTTCGCGTCACAGGTGTCCTTCAGAACGTCAGTGCATCATCAGAGCTTCAATGTTGAAGTGTGTGTCATCGACAAGAATGACAACGTGCCTACGTTCATAGAGGAGAGCATGAGAGGCAGCGTGCAGCTCGGGCTTCTCAAGGGTACGAGAACCTTGCACTCAGATGTGAACGTATTACACAGCCAATTTAAGGCTGGGTCACATTCGTCAGTCCTGATTTATGAAATATGCTGAATGTCGTCAACAGTGAAAAAACATGCCTCATATCTCCGTGGAAACGGCAGTTTAACCTTAACATCAGTATAAATAGATTTAATAACGTTGCAAACAGCATCATTTCAATCACACACACACAAAAAGACTTTGTCATGGGTTTTGGTGATCACATTTATTTGATACAAAGGCCCCAGTGTATTCCATCTGAAGTCCTTTCGATATACACAGGGTCTAGCTCATAGTATTAACTCAATTATGTTTTTATGTATTTCTCATTTAAGAAAACCATGATGGTACATACACCTTTGTGTTGATCAGCTTTCTGTTTGAATTTCCCACAAAGGTCAACTCACTGAAGCTAATTCTGTTACTATTTTACTCTGTCTGTGCAGACTAGGCATTTTGTAGAGTTTTCATCTTTTAACTTTTAAGATTTGCTGTTACACAACCCATGTTTTTGTTCTTTTGCCTTCACATCAGCATGTTTTCTTGGTATAGTTAGGATGGAAATTTAGACATTTTGTCCCACTCTTTAATTCTGTGTCACCCGTATCTCTCAGGAATACCATTCATGCAAGTGGAAGCGCTAGATCGCGATGACCGCAACAGTCCCCACGCTGATCTGCGCTTCAGCCTGATGGAACAAACACCCAGGATTCCCTCCAGCCAAATGTTCTCCATCCATGCCGTCTCTGGGGAGGTTTCACTCACTGAGGAAGGTCAGTCTCAACCAGCCGCTGAAAGGAAATAGTCAAGATAATTTTGTGGGGAGTGTTTTATCCATAAAGGGAATCTTCAACATATATTTTCCCAACAAATCAGCGTGGAGGGTCACCTAGAGTGCAGCGTTACAATGTAGGTTTAACTTTCTGCAATTTGAGAGGCCAACTCTTTACATTTATTAAAAATTGCTTTCTTATTTCTTAGGAGCTTATCATGTAGACAGTTTGTCCTCTTGAATGATGAAATGGCATGCAGTGAATTCTAATGGACCGGATGCTCCTCTACCTCATTCATTCATCCCGTTGCTCCATTCAGCAATGAAATCAGATGCACTAGCAGTCACGCATGCCAAAGCAACAAAAGGAAGCAGCTCTGTGTTGGTATGCTGTGGGTCATGAGCAGTTCTTTTCTTTACTTTCACTTCATTTCACAAGGCCACAAAACCATTACACAACCTTACTGTTTTCTGTTAAGGCTTTAGAGACCCTTAATCTGGCTTTTCAGTTTTTGCTTGCATCTTGAAACAGAGAGGGAAACATGCTCACCATCATCAATGTCGAGCATTCTTGACTTGATTTGCAGTCATAAACAGGTTTATCTTCACCATCATGCACAAGACTTGCACTGATTGGTCTACTATGTTGCCAGCAATTGTCTAGATTTCATGTGCATGCATAGTTTTTGCTTGAAAAAAAAATCCAGATATTGACTATGGCAAACTATTTTTATATCTCTTTGACAGTGAACCTCATTATTATCTTCTTCATTGTCACAATGGAATCTAAATTGTAGCCCATGTATGAGCTGCTGTGAGCTCTTTTCTGCAGATATCAACACTGAAACGATGCACTTCAGTCCACCAGTGATTTAGCATCCAAGTGTCCAATAACCTTTAAACATCTAGTGTGTGTAAACGTTTCTAAAACACAATTCTTT